TCTGTAGCGACGTTCTTTTCCGCGTCAATCCCCCCTCCAACGTTTCAAACTTTCTGTTTTAATAGTACTGTATTTATATGTTCAAATGGTCAAAAGTACGATGTTATCTAAACTATGAAGAAAAGTTATGTTCACAAAAGTTTGTTCACCATGCAATTTTTTTGCTATATCACGACGTAAAAATAGTTCTCAAACTTGAAGTTCAAATGTGTGTGTGTGTGGGGGGGACTTAAAAAAGAGCCTTTAGCGGTTGTAGATATGGCTGTCTGCTGAACACCCGCTATTGGAATCGGAATTTTCATTAAATGAAGCGCTTACAGTTGTCTTTCAAATACTTCTTGATAATAAATAGTTGAAATCTTCATTTTGATGGGCTTTAAATGTTTTTTTAGAGCAATGGCGGTACTAGGCGAGATTTTAATAGTAGAAACCAAACCGTCGGACAGTGCAATCAAGATTTCACCTCGGTCACTTTTTGAGTGAATTTTAAACTCTCATGTCGAGCCCCACGTTTTTCAAAGTTGCCTGGTGGTTGCAGTGAATTGTTTAATCAATAGAAAATATATTTTTTTGTTATTATTGAGAGTCAATATACAAGTAATTTCTCCAACTTGATATTTACGGGAAAAAAATTTGTGTTAAATTTCAATCAATTTTTTCTGTTGTCATTCAGAATCAATTTACGATTAATTTTTCCGTCCATTTTACATCAGAAAAATTTTGTGTTTAAGGGGAGCAAAACGGAACATAACAACATTTCAATCAGTAAACCTTAATCTAATTTCATTTGATAGACTTTTAATCTATTTCTCAAAAGGCTACTCGTGGGTGTTTTTCTGGGGGGCCGAATTGTTTTATATATAGATAATCAAGCAATCCAAAAGTGAGAGAATTCTGAGACAAAATATCCAACCTTAAGCTAGTTTCGTATGTTCCAAAGAGAAATGTTTTTGGGTTAAACGAAACATGAACTCATCAAAATTAGATAAAAAATATTTATCATAATTATCGATAAACATCGATAAAAATCATCATTAAAATAGTGTTTTTGCTATACGACACATATGCTCCCGCACCGAAGTTTCATGGATAATAATCGATTATATTGGATTTTTGTTGACAGTCTTAATAAAATTACAAAAATAATCGATTATAATTGATTAAAAATGGATTATAATGATACTATTTTTCTAAGCAATATAATCCGAATATAATCGATTATAATCGATTATAATCTATTTTTTTTGGAAGAAAATGAAACTTGTTTTTAAAGCAAAATAATCCATTTTTAATCGATTATAATCGATTATATTCGGTTATAATTGCGAATTTCTTCTTTTACATTTTCAGGAAAATTGTTATCAAGGTCAGTTGCTTAGTATGGAATAAACTAAATTCTATTCAATATATTTTCATAATTTTTTTTTGACTAGTTTTTTTTTCAAATTTTCGAAAAAAAGTTTTAATATTGTGCGACCTCAAATTGACTTTTAAATACGGAGTTAGCTTCAAACAAGACAAAATATGAGTAATTCGTATAATTTATATTTTTATACCCTGGAATCTTCGAATTTTCTTGATAATTCAACGTTAATTCTTGATTGAATTACTCTTGGACGGAATTCTTGGTTATGATACCATTTCCAGAATGGTCACTCATAGTTATTTCAGAAATTATTACTTGAATTTTATGGTCGAAGCCGGCAGCCTCTTATGGTAAATGGTTTTCGCGAACAAAGAAGACTGGTTAAATTCATAAGATTTGAATTCTACTTCACTGGGGGGATTGAATTATGCATCCTGTAAAACTTTTAAAAAGACTTTTTTGTTTGTTGAAACCATTTACCATTTTTTGAAAAAAAAAAAATGGATTATAATCGATTATATTGTGTTTAGGGTTGAAAAAAAAATCGATTATATTCTTGAGAAAAATGGATTATATTCGATTATAATGGATTATAATGGATTTATATTTTTCCAAAATAATCGATTATAATCGATTAAAAATCCATTATGTGGTCTAATTTTGACATGATAATCGATTATATTGACAACATTTTAGTCAACGAAAATCCATTATAATCGATTATATTGTGTTTAGGGTTGAAAAAAATATCGATTATATTCTTGAGAAAAATGGATTATAATCGATTATAATGGATTATAATGGATTTAAATTTTCCAAAATAATCGATTATAATCGATTAAAAATCCATTATGTGGTCTAAATTTGACATGATAATCGATTATATTGACAACATTTAAGTCAATAAAAATCCATTATATTCGATTATAATGGATTATAATGGATTTATATTTTTCCAAAATAATCGATTGTAATCGATTAAAAATCCATTATGTGGTCTAATTTTGACATGATAATCGATTATATTGACAACATTTTAGTCAACGAAAATCCATTATAATCGATAATTATCCATGAAACTTCGGTGCGGGCTACAATGCCAACCTCATTCTTTTTTGTTCCGATTTTTGATACGAAAGTAACGGAATATTTGTGCTCGGGGTGGGTTTTTTTTTCTTCAGACTAATTTCGACTTTTTAACTAGCCATTTTTGACGGAATTTTTTATATCATTCAAAAAGTATTGTTGTCCTGAGCTTAAATTTGAAAAGATATTTCACCTGTGATCATTTTTCGTAAAGTTATGAGGGTTTAAAGATTGCCAATTTGCCCATTTTGACCAATTTGGGACAATTAACGCGCGATATAATTCGCGCTATTAACGCGTAAGCGAGATTTAATCCGTCTTATAAATCGTTCCAAATTGGTTGAACGAAGCTTAATTGCCATAATTGATTTGTTACAAGGAACGAAATCTATCTTTTTGTACTTTATTTGGCGTGGGGGGATGATTTTCATAAAAAATTTCAAATTGTAGAAAATTTTTTTTGCATTTTAATTTATTTCATTTAATTTTTTTCTATGTATTACTGCTGCTCAATAAACCTTAAAATGCAGTCTGATCATTCAGGGCTTCGCCCTGATACGAGCAGTCTTGTTTCTATATAATTACATGCTCGTCACATTTTATACTTATTAGGTCAAGCTACATGTTGAATTTGTGTACAGTCTTTTCATACTATGTAAACTCCACATCAATATCTCTATTTTATGCTTTGCTAGTTCCGCCCTCGCAAATTTCCCATCCTCACATCTTCGTAAAATTCCATTCGCCTAATTTGAAGTGAACAGTTAAAGAATTCACGTATGAAGTTGTTTACCACCTGAAAAAGAAGTGAAATATTAGAAGTAAAATTGTTTCCTTTCATTTATGTTTCAAGCTCGTGAGAAAATTTGAAAGATAATTTTTTCTTTGTCTGTTTGTGTTAGTTTTCATTTTTGTTCAGACAAAGCAATATAAAGACTTCTTCAAAATACAAGAAAGATTATACAGCTTGAAAAATAAAACGTTGAAAATCTGCTGAAAAAAAAAACTGTTCTCATTTTAAGTCAAATTTTTATCCAATTTGATTTAGAAAAAATTTTTCGGGTTTCCAACTGCGCTTTATGGTACTTCAAGGACCATTTTAACTCTAATTGGATCGTGACTCAATTAGGTCACACATTATATCACTGTTACCTATCCGCTCATTGAAAACACGAAATTATCTCGCTGGATGAGTTATTGATCAAAAGAAATCACAAGGCGTTTTCATTTAGCAAATTTTTGAAAATGTTATACTTAAAAAATGGTAAACTTACTATAGAGCTGTAGTATTCTGTTGGTATGTGAGCCTAATTTGTGACAGTTTTTTTTAATTGGAAAAAAAACGAAAAAAAAATTTGTTTCAAGTTTTACAATACAACAAAGGTATGGAAATTTATCTCTGAAGGTAGGCGCCATCTTGTGCTTGCAAAAAGAGTAGTTTAAACTTTTTAAGCGCCGATTAGATTTGCTTTTAGTCCATATTTTATCCGCTATTTGGGCTAATAGCTGAACCTTGGTACTAATTATCCTGAAAAAAAACAAAGGAAAAATAAGGAAAAATTATTTGAAAATTAAAACAGTCTCAATTTTTTTTTAATCAACACTATAAAAAACTGAAGATTGATCTCATTTTGGTTTGTAATAATAAAGAATCCTTCAAAATTTTGTGGCCCAGCAAATAACTACAGAAAATCAATTACTTTGAAAGAAAAAGACTTCAAAGAACAATTCAAAGAACGATTCAATTTCGCAGTCTAGGTAAGGAAGGTGTTTTTCTTATTGATATTGGTAGTCACGCTTAACGAATTTTTATTCGTACATACCAATAGATACACCAATGTACACTAATGTCTTTATTGTGAATGAAAATTGGAACGCTTATACGTTTTAACTACGCCACAAACAAGGCTCAAGGAAAAATTGGCTCCATAATTGAATTTTCCCCGGTCCCTTTATCTTTTTTTTTGTACTCTTGTGAGGAAAAAAGAAGAAAATAAAAATGTGTACTTACTAAAAATTCTGATTTACACCGTTTCTATATGTTAAGCAGGGAAAGATTTTAAAAACTTACTCCTCATTTTATATTCAGCAATTAGCACGATTTGCATATTTACTGCAAAATAGTTTTATTGGACACTGATCGTTTAGAACTTCAAAACTGCAAATTTCGGACAAAAACGCAGATTACTTCGCTCGAAATTGACCTAGATGCACTTTCTGGCAGTTAAAAATTTAAAAATCCCAAGCACCAGGCAAAAGCTAAACTGCATCAAAATGTTATACAAATAAAAAAATTTTCAATTCTTACTGTTAATTTTTTTTGGCTATTTAATCAGCAACAAAAAACTGTTTATTCAAAACTTTCTTCATGCTTGCATTGTTTTCAGATAAAAAGTTATCGGAGAAACATGACTTTGCAGTCTAGGTAATTTACATCTTTATGAGCGTGGTTATCGAAACTTGAAACCTTATTATTTTTATACAAGTAGTTCTCTAATTTTTGTCGAAAAAAGTGAGGTATAAAAGTCAATTCAAGGAACCACGTCGATAGGCTCGATCAATTAGTAATCATTTTTGTTTCCGGACTTTGATTACATTTTTCATGTGATTACACTATTTATCTATCTTCGTATCTTTGCTCCAAATCATCTTATTTCCTGCTGTCTTTAAATGTCAAATTGTTCATTTCCGCAAAGAAAATATGTTGTTTTTTTTTCTATAGTTCTTAGCATTATATGACAAAAAAATACCAGCAAACTGCCTTCAGTGAATTGGATGGTCCAAAATTCTTTTTTTTTACCATCAGCGAATTGGATGAGCGATTATCTTACTTTTCTTTCAAATTAAATTTACACCCGCGTTTACTTCAAAGATGTTAAGTCCATTCCAAAAATCAGGTAAGAGAAAAGAAAAAGATTTCGAAAAACTGCCTGGTGGCATTGCTAGTCTTCAAGTGTCATTTGCTGTTCTTCAGGAAAATCAATTATAGAGTTCTGGATTAAATCCAACCTTCTCAGAATCAAAAGCAACAGTCTAAGCATATTTCCCGGTTTGAAAAAAATGCTTATCAAACATTTCCATTTTATGGAAAAAATGATTAGCATACAAATTCATACAATTCCACCGAAAAAAACATTGGATGAAAATCACAGGTCAAGCATTTTTTCCATCACAAATAAGAAAAGCAACAAGATAAACGACGCTGAATCGCAGATTTGAAGACGTATTGCTAGAAGCCTAGTAAGGTAAAATTTGAAATTCACTCAAAAATCTTAATAAAAGTTATTTTTTTAAATGGTTATCAAGTCTCAGTTCTGAAAAACTCAGACATTGAAAATCGACTTTCGGTTTAAATTAGGTTAAATTTATTTAAACTGAAAAATACAAACTCTGCCATCACATAAAACTTTCAATGGATCCTAGATTTGTTATGCATAAAGACTGTGCGTGGACAACGTTATAAGCAAAAACTTGAATGTTTTGCTCGCAAAAAAAAAATTTTGGAGAATTTTTTTTGTAAGACTGGTTTAGCGACTACGAACAAATTGGCAGCATGAAAAAAGTTCATTTTTGCTCAGATTGGAAAATTTTGCATGGAGAAACACGCTTGTCAAGCAAATAAATGAAATTCTTATAATCAGCATTTTTTTCATAGAACTAATGGATGGAACTGTATTATAAACATTTTGTTAGGGGATAAATTCGGGATTGCAAAGAAGCAGGCTTCTTCTTGAATTCCTTATGTAAGGACAATCTATCGAAACCTTGTTCAAAAATCATTACCAACCAATCTGAACTTTTTAATTCAAAATAGACCAACTTATAAACAGGTGAGGGTTATTTTGTTATAATTCCTCAAATAAAAAAAAGAAACTTGGTAAAAATTTGGATTTCTCGGTTTTACGGAAAAGAGAGATGTTGGTATGCAAGATGTGCCCCAACTTTTGCCGTTTTCTCATCATAAATCTTTAAAAAAAACTGAGAGCAGTTGCATTTTATTTGTTGCTCAATTTGAATTTTTTCTGCTGTATTGCAAGTTGATTCAATGCGCTGGATATTCTTTCTGTTTTTCATCATTATGGAGGGGAGAGGGGCTGGGGTGATTGGGTAGACCCCAATCTTAAGAATTAGATTGCTATAGAGACCCTGTAAAAACGAAGTGACCCAGAGCGGTCAAATATGACTCTCCGGGTTAACCAACAATACTAATCATACAATTTTCATTTTGATCAAACACAAGCGACAAAAACCATGGCTTACTCAAACTAACACCACCACAGGTTTGATCGTCTCGCATTTACAATGCATTGGATGCGATCTGACTTGAATAAGAGTTTTTTACACGAATGATATACTGAAAGCATTAAACATATAAGTTTTGGCAAAAATTCTCAAAAATAAATATTTTCAAATTTCGAATTTTCAAATTATCAGACAAGTGATTTCTTGCAGAGAATTGGATGGTGGAAAAGTTCGAATTTCTCTATTGCAGCCATTCAAGACACAAAACATTGAATAATGCAAAGTTATTTCACAGACTGAATCGGTTCCAGAATAATTAAGGTTTTTGTAGACAAGCTAATCAAACTACGAATCTTTGAAACATGTTAAGTTATTTTATGAAGGGAATCCAATGCAAAAACTTAAGTTTTTCATTTGGAGCAACTTAAACAATGAAAAATTGATATATTTCCAACGCCTAACGAGTTCGTTAAAATTAGTTTTTCCTAAGCAAGCCATAAAAGCTATGAAATCTTGAAAGCATATAAGTTGTTTTGGACCAAATGGGGTCGCAAAACTTTCAAGCGTTTTCTAAGGAAGCTACATAAATTTTAAAATCTTGGTTATTTCATGAAGGTCATCTTAGGGTGAAAAGTATAGGTTTTCTATAGCAGCTATCCAGGCGATAAAAATTTGAATTCATTCAAGTTGTTTCTTATACTGAATCTTTTTCGAAAAATTAACTTTTTCTATGCAAATACTCAAGCAAACATAAACATAAGAAATTTTTCTATAGAGCGAATCATTTCAAAAAAGTTTTCAGTTCTTCTTTGCCAGCTAGTTGAACGATAAAACTTTGAAATATGTAAAATTTAGTTCACAAACAAATCAAGTTTTCAATTCAAGCAATCAAACTTTAAAAAACTACACGTTATTTCATGAAGCAAATTAGATGGCAAAAAAATAATAAAATTTTCAATTGAAGATATTAAAATAAGGGAACTTAGAAAAAAGGTTGTTTAATGGACCAAATCGTGATGCAAAAAAAAATTTCTGAGGGAGCTATTCTAGCGATGAACCTTCCAATATTCTGTTTTGTTTATTGAAGAGAAAAAAATTTCAAGTTCTAGCGATAAAACTTCCTCAAAAACTGAAAATTTTTTCATGGAGCAAAACATTTTGCAAAATTTTTAGTCTTTCTCAGCCAGTTATTCAACCAATGAAATTATAAAAATATTCCCAAAAGCAGATTAGGTTAGTAAAAAACTACGTTTTCTATGGATGCTATTCAATCATTGACTTTTGAAATATTTCAAATTGTTTCACAGAGCGAGTCAATTTAAGAACAGTTCTTTCAAGCAAGCTTTTCAAGCGAAAAAACTTCAATTTTTCAAGCTATTTCACAGACCGAGTCGGTTCGAAAAAGAAAAATTTTTCGTTGGCAATCAGTTCAAACTATGAAATTTTGACATATCAAACTCTCTCATAGGCTGAATCGGGTCGTTATAATGTTCAAGTTGTTCTAAGCTAGCTATTCAAGCTTTGAAATAATTCAAGTATTTTCAGAGACTGGATCGGTTCGCAAATATTTATGTTTTTGTAATCAATCTATGAAATCTTGAATTACTTTAAGTTATTTCAAAAACTAAATCAGTTCGCGAAAGTTAGTTTTTTTTCAGCAAGCTATTCCAGCTATGAAACTGAAATATTTCAAGCTATTTTATGATGCAATTCGGATGGTGAAAATTTCAGTTTAAAAAACTTGAAGCGTTAATTTGATATTGACTGAAAAATTCTAAAACAGTCTTAATTCTGAAGATTTTATTAAGCGTTGAGCTCATTGATCGCTCTGAATCATTGCGCTTTCTGTCAGTTAAAACATGGCTATAATTTTTCTGTCATCTTAAGTATTAAATTTAAATCCTCTTGCGCTATGGTTGCAACGTTTTAATTTTTCTGTCCAGCACACCGCTCAAGAAGACTTAGATCAGAGTGTTTAGGAAACATTCCGAGCAACCATCTAGCTCAATGCCTGAGCTGCGTTAAAGGAAGATCTTTCTAGAACCTTCAATCGTTCTTAAGTTTTAAATTATATTGAACTTGATTCAATTTCAAGGCTAGACAGTACCTGCCCAATTTCTGCACGAAGTTGTAAGTTGTGCATTTACAGTATAATTTAATCTAAAAGAATTCAATTAGCAACCTCAAATATTAAAACAACCATTGTTTAGCAAACCGATTCGCGCTGTTGAATATTTTAAAATGTTGAAAAGTTTCATAGCTTGAAAAACGTTCTTAGAAAAACTCAAAAACTTTGAGACTTAACTCGCTCCGTATAACGACTTCAAATTTTTCTCGCTTGTCCAACCGATTCAGCCCAATGAAGAACTTGACTAATTCAAAGTTTCAGAATTGGAGTAGCTTGCTCAAAAAACTTCAATTTTTCAAGAACCTACTCAGTCTAGGAAATCAATTGATTTTTTAAACGCAAATTTCTTTGGTTGAATAATGGCTCAGAAACGAACGTTTCCCTGCTGCTTCCCTTCAAGAAAAGTTTTGAGATATTTTTAAAACCCATAGCTGGAATAGCTTGCAAAGCAGTTCGCGAATTCATTATTTTGAACTTGTTGCCATCCAAATCGCTTCATCAGTTAACTTATTTTTCGTGCGGACCGAATCGTTTTTTCAAATTAAAAAATAATTTCAAACTAATTTACGATATGGATTAATTTGAAACTGTTTTTAGTTTCATATATTGATTAGCTTGATAATAGCAGGAAATATTTCTTTGGAGCCCATTGGTTGTCGCAGATGGGCTTGCTAGTTCATTTAATAAATAGGATTGTTGAAAATTGACCAGCATAAAAAAAAACGAAATTGTCAGCTACTTTGTTTCTCAGACGGAAGGACTTTTATGCTAGAATCAGGGCAAAGACATGAACTGGCCAAGTACTCTCAAGGCCCACGAAGTAGTTTTAGTTTAAGAATGTCAATTTGATGAAAGAACAAAAAGCTAAGAAAGCATTTGAACAAAATGTTCCGAAATCAATGAAAGCATTCGAACTAAAAGTCAGAAACCAGAGAAGTTGAACAGAAACACGGACCACACCACAATTAGAAGATTAGAAATCGGGAGGTAATTAGGAGGAACTCAGCATAGTGGTAAAAGGTTCGCTTTCGGATTGTCAGATATAGAAATCAATCTACTGCCATGGCAATGACAGTGTGTGAGGACTAGCTCTCAATTGAGCCCTAGTTTTAAGTCTAACACAGCCTGACTGAATACGACGGCCAATTGTGGTACCACATGAAAGTTCTAGACGCAAAAAAACGGCCTTGAAACGCTAAAAAAGAGAGTCGCTCAACAAAATCACTCAGTATGGAATGTGGGGAAATAAGAGAAACTGACTATGCTTAGACAACCTGGATATCCTTTCATAGATCCTCTGCGAACCGCTAGTACCACAAACATTGAAGAAACAATAAAAATACCTACTATTCAAAATTACTGAACTACAAAGTAAATAATATAAAATTATGATGGAAAGAAAAACGATAACTTGGTGATTATGCAAAGTATTTTACGAAGCATGAACAAAAAGGAAACAAGTTCCAAAAGATGGTCAGCCTAAAAAAGAATTCCTGAAGAAATGACATAACGGAAAATTCAATTACC